CACATACTTGTTTATGACCTGATAAAATAAATTTAAATTTTTTTTATTGTTGATTCAAAATTTCCTTTTTGTGGGTTCTGCGATCTCCACGAATTTCGATTATCTATTTCCGAACAAATAAGAAATGTTCGGTTACCTATTCCCGAACAAATAAACAATGTTCAGGCCTGTATTCTTGAATTTCAGTCATATGTTTAGGAGTTCAATTCTGAAAAGATGACGAACAGTTTTTATTATTTTTGTAATTTTTTTTCAAAAAACTTACCTTTATAAGGCCAATCTCCTCTGAGCTAAGAACACCATCAAAGCTATATTGTATTCCTCTTGTCTCATGGAGTTGTGGTTGCCAAAAAAACTTTCACTCATTGTCATTGCCACATAAGTGTAGGTAATTAAATGGTTGCCACTATTACTGCCAAAATGTTATTGCCAAAGGGTTTTCAAGATTTTGAAGATGAATATGTTTTGAAAGTGAGATTTGGGGAAGATGGATGGGTATTGATGGAGATGAGTGCTCTCATAAATCCTAACTCATGATGTAATCGATGTGTGGGCTTAATTGTAAGATAGGGTGTCCCAAAATTATTGATATCCTTTTTAGTAATTTCATTTGAGGTTATTATTGTAATAAATAAAAAAGGCTAAAAAATAAAAAATTCAAAATAATTAATAGAATACTAATAATAACACTTTATATCTTATATCTTCAATGTAATACCACCAATGGTAGTCCTATTATTCAAAATTTGGGCGGGACTGTTCAAAAACACGAAGTACGATAACGGCGTGATAGCTACCTTCAACCAATAAGAGTATGCCACGTGTCCTAGGGATTAGAAGCGATTCAGTTGCTGTGATTGAAGAGACGTTTGAACCGGACAGGTACAGACCGGTGTGATCCTAGCTCGGCTGAAAAGGCTAAGAGTTTTAGCTCGGCTGGAAAAGCATAAAGGCTTAGCTCGTTAGTAAAATTAAAATTTTTTTAGCTCGGCTGGAAGACAAGGTAATCCCATCATGCTGCGCAGATGGAATTAAGGGGCAATTAAGAGGGTAATTTGTATGAATAAATTGGGCTGAGATTGAGTAATGGGCCGCTTTAGGTCGTAGTAAGAAAGGCGGAGTAAAATGGTTTTTTTCATTAGCTCGGTCCAAGAAGGCCTTGTTGTTATCTCGGTCGCCACGGCCAAATCGGTTAGTTCGGTCATGGCATACAAAACTGAGGTGAAAGTGAGAAAGTATACTGAGCCCTTTTCAGGACTTGGTTTTGGGTTAGTTCGGCATAGGCTCTTCTATGGATAGCTCGGTCTTGGCATGTGAAGCCGAGGTAGGGGAAAAGTAAGGAATAGCCGAACTAACAGTTAGATCGGTTACTTCAGTCAGTATAGCATGTCAATGTTATTTCGGTTGTATGGTAGTCCGGTCATGGTATAACCGTCTCACTTGGTTTAAGTAGTGAGGGGGTGTTGAAGGATAAGCATTATCCTTTAGGAGTATGAATCCTAAGAGGACTCTACATGGAGGAGTAAGAGTCCTACTTGGATTGTGCCACATGGAACTTATAAAAGCTCACAAACATCACTTATGGAGAGGTAACACAACTTTGATTTCTGAATACACAGAGCTTTTGTCTACTTGTCTATTTTGCTGACTTAGGCCTCGTTTGGGAACAAGCTAATTTAGTAACTTTTTGGCTATTTGGCTAAAAAAGTAGGTAAAAAAAACTTATATCTTTGGGATGACTTTTTGGCTAATTACGAAAAGATGTGCAAAAAGTAGAGAGAAAAAAGAATCTTTGACTTTTTGGTATGAGTTGTTGGCTTTTTGGCTAAAAAGGTAACTTTTTGACTTTTTTGCTAAAAAGGTAAGTCCCCAAACGGGGCCTTAGGCATCGGAGAAGTTTTCGGCATACACCGCCGGCTAGCTCACGTTTGTGTTTTCAGGGAGTAAAGCGACGACGTTTGGAGGAGCGCAGACTTGATCAACAGGATTATACGAAAAGATTTATTTCTTTCCCGTACACATTCCTACCATACTTATCATTTACTTAACTTAGTCTGACAATCAAAGATGACCTCAAGGTTTTAATTCACTGAAATGTATGTTTTATATTTGCCTATTCACATGTCTACAAACCAATTGCATTAATTGATTGTTTTAGTCTTACTAGCTAGAAGGAAAAGTGGTATAATTATATCAAACTTAAAAATTTATTGTATTTTTTTTTCTTAATCTCAAAGATAATCATTGTAGTTTATCCTTTTTTTATTTATAATCTCATTTTGAATACTAAATTTTTTTTTATTATGTATTACATTTACAAGCAAGGCAAACACTCATATCCACTTGGTCCCATTATGAACCTTTAAATCCAAATGCCTCAACAATTGGCTAAACATGGAAATAATATGATTGGTAATTTTGTGAAAAGCATAAAATTGGACTTTTGGTTAGTCTTTTAGAAATGTGAAGAACCAATTAGGCACTAGACTTTTTAACAAAAGAATAAGGTCTACCGCAGGGGTACAAGTACATAAATGAGAAAATTGTGTTAATAAAATGGCTCTTTTTAGTGGGCTGGCTGCATTATTTTTCAACATTGTAACAACTCTTGTGGCCTAGTGGTATTTTGTTTCTCAAAAGGGAAAGGAATATTGGAATGGTGGGACATGATATTTTGTAAAAAAATCTTCATCTGCAATAATTGTTGGGTATTGTTTGGCTTTATCATAGTCCCTCTTTAGTGATTTGATGGGTTTATTTTCTAATATTATGGAAGAATTGTGATAATTTTATAATTTTAAAAAAAAAATAAAAATAAATGACTAGTGTGATTTTAAAAATAGATGGTTTACTTTTTTTAGAAACAAAATGATGAAATTACGTGGCTATAAATATCATATTAATCTAATTTTGATGGCGAATTAACAGACACCTAGCTACAAGATGAACAATAGTTGACTCGATATAGACCCCACTTGCCCAAACCCAATGAATCTTCTCCCTTATTAGAAAAACGGCAAATATGAAAACTAACAAGACTAGTACATTGGCCACAGTCCCCGACTTCCTCATTTGCATGTAGGTTGTGTTCTTTTGTATTTGTTTGGGATTTCGCTCTTCTACTTTGAGAATTTCTTAAAAATAGTAATCTATTTTATTTAAACTATTGTAATTGCAAAATATTGAGTTTCATTATAACATAATACTTCTTAATTAAAAACAAAAACAATCTTTGACATGGGTAGGCCCATAAAAGCTACAGTCCACCATGAACAACTCAAGCCTATCACTTAGAGCCCAATACATAACCCAACTGATAAGGCCCAGCACCATCTGGAAGTTAACATGGCATGAAGGACCAATGATATTCAGACACATGACAGGTAAAGGGCAAGCCACATCAGCAGACAAAGATCTGCAAAGTTATTGCCACTGCACATCGTCATTAATGCAGCCCCTCACTGCATTTATTACGACAACATCTCTCTGTCGGGACAGCACGCCCTCATCCTGAACAAGGTCAGTTACCGCATAGACTTTTGGCCAAGGTGACAGGTCAGAAGGGATAACGAAATGATTACCAAAGGATATAAGCAAGCGTTGAAGACAAGAAGAAGGTTAAGCTTTCTATCTCTAATTCATCTCTACACTATATTTCTCTCTCTAACTTGCTCGTCGGAGGGTTCGCTGGGGGACTCCCCGTTCCTCGTTAAACTCGTGTGCAAGTTCTCTGGTGGGTTTGATCATTTAGATACCGGTTCGAGAAGTGTGGATCAGTCCGACCCGCTCTACTTGAAACCCATTACATCATCACTGTATCATCAACCTTAAATATGGGTTGGGAATTCAAACCTTGAACAGAGTGTTGAGAAAATTAGAAAAGAGTTGGTTTGCATGTGTTCAAAAATATCAACTCATTCATGGAGAGCAAGTTGAACTTTCACTTCAATGTTTGAACACACACATGATGCATGTATATCAACTCATTCATTGTTTCAATTTTTCTTGAGGACTTTTTAGGCCCTAACTTTAGGTTTGGAGAAGTCTAGCAAGTAGCAAACGTTGTCAGTCAAAGGAATGGACAACAATCAATAGAAAAAAATGTGTTTATTATTCTTTATATATATATTTTCATCAAATAAAGAATTTTTCAATAAGCACTACAATTTTATGAGCTTCCATTGCATTTGGGCCTAGATCACAGCTGCCGCCTGACATTCCAATGGAAGTTCTTAATGAGGCCCATTATACAATAGTTTACGTCTTGTAGTTGTAACCCTCTCAAGCTTTTTGGGCTTTCTTTTAGATGGACCTTCTAATTCAAATAAACTTTCTTAAGGTTTTTTTTGTTTTTTGTTTTTGAAAAAACTACAAGCCATAAAACTTGCCATAAAATAAAAGTGCAAACTATCCATAGATCATAATATTTGAATTTAATTATCATCAAATTCTATTAAAAATAAGTCTTAAAAAAATCATCACTAAGGAAAAAAAAATTTGTGATGATTTTTTACATATATTGTTAAAAATTGACAATTAGTGAATTTTTTTTTTGTTATAATTTTTATAAATTATTGATAAAACTTACAATTAGTAATTTTTTATGACGAATTTTTTAAATTGTCGCTGAAAATTATAAATTAGTGACCTTTTTGTGACGATTTTTTTTAAATTGTCGCTAAAATTTATAATTAGTAATTTTTTTGTGACAATTTTCAAACTGCCGCTGGAATTTAACAATTAGTAACATTTTTAATAGTGTTTAATCAAAAATATCATTAATTATCATAGGACATATTGGATAATAAGTCTACTTATTATGACCTACACGTAAGCCTCCCTAAAATAAATATATGGTGTATACTCAAATTTAATGTGAATCATGCCTCAAATGAATTGACAAAATTTTTTTTTTTTCGCCCCTAGCATTGTTTTTTCACATGTACTTTTGCTTGCCTACTGCAACCTTGAGTTCAGACATCATAACAACACTTTATGCATCCAAAATCAATCAAAAGAGAAACTTCAAATTTTTTTTCAGTATCTTTATTACATAAAATTTGCGACTCTCACTTGTAGAGACATGACAAACAAATTGCAAAAACAACAAAAATTCCAGATCATGTGTTCACAAACCTGCAATTCTTCCTAACTTCCCCTCCCCCTTTAACAAAGGTGTCAGGATTTATAATATTTCCCAATTTCACCATGGACTTTGAGAATTGCTCGAAGAATGCCATTGGATTCTCGGCATACATGACCACAAGCTTCTTTGTTTCAACCCCAAATACACTTGAATACAGTTCTTGATCAGAGTTTAGCAATCCCTTCCCATTCAATAGTATTTGGTAGAAGGAATTGTCAAAAAAGTTTGGGGTAACATAGTCCATAGCAGTTTCATTATTGTCTCCTCCCCCTGCTGCTGGGCAAATAGATCTCAATTTGCTTAGGTATGCCTCAGAAGTTGGATTCACCCCTGAAGTTACTTCAAAATCTCCATAAATTCTTGATCGGAAGTTCACGCAGCGCCCCTTGCCAATCGTATGAGCCCCTGTATAAGTAGTGTCAAGACCAACATGTGATTCACTATCTCAAATCGCAATCATTAGTATGTAGTTCTTTTTATTTTCCTTCTGGTTTTCAATTAAAAAAAAAAAGGTAGGCAGGGGACTACTATGGTAATTTTTTCTGAGCGTGACCATATGAGCCCTTACTCGCTGGGGAGCCGGATAGGAGGGGATTAGACTAGAGTATATCATGATCCCAACCCCACAGAAGATATAATGAAAAAATAGTTGGTGGCCTAAGATTAATGGTCATTAACCTCACACCCTAGAGATCACTTGGTGAGAATTGAACCATGATTCAATTATCTGAAAAAAACTTCTTCATTTTGTTTTTGTAGAACATGCTCTCTGTTTTTTTTTGTTTTTTTTTTCCCCTAGAGGTTGACATGTTCGAGGAAAAAAACTTTTTTGAATTTCCCAAAACTCATAATATTTACTTCATTTTTTATCTCTGTTCTTGAACATGCATGATTGAGTACTTATTTTTATGGGTACTCTGATCTCCAAATACTTCAAGATTGTGAAAGCACACAGATTACACAGTGCTGGAATTAGAAATGGAAGTTTATATATTCTCAGCTCTTATCTCTATATGATTATTGAGTGGTGCTTACCAGAAAGAGCAACCATATCAGTGACAGAGAGACCTTGGTAAAGAAACTTGGAAATGATAGAGAGAATCCCCTCTTCTGAAGAAGGTAAGTTTACATTTGCCAGTTCATATCCTGCAGTTTTTGAATCCTTTCTTCCCAGTGGAACTTCCCAATCAGGTCCACCAACCTACAAACACATTAAAACCAACCGTCACAATTTGATCTCCACAACAATATCAATAATACATATATCGGCAGATATGTGTTGGGATTTTGGAATACTGATATTCACTGATATATCGGCTGATGCCAGATAGCGTTATTTAAAATGTTGATATATATAAATTGTAATTTTTTATAAAGGTTATCATGAATACCAGAATAACTGCGTCTCTTGCAGCAACAGTGAGGATGTCAGCACAGGAGACAATACCAGGGCACTCGGACTCGAGCTTGTTCTTGATTTTGTCAATGATTCTGAAACCTTTGAGGGCATGTTTATTAATGGAAGCTTTCTTTTCTCCTTGTAAACTGTATGTGTCATCTAGCAATACCGATCCATCGCACCCCTGTAATGTATGTATCCATTATATATATTCATTCACTCAACTTGAAAAAATTTATAGTAATTAAACCTATGTCATGCATATTATAGAACCCCCTTTTTAAGGTAACACATACACAACAATTTGATCCATGTCAATTGATTTTAATTATTTCTGAATGATGATGTAAGAAAGAGAACAATAATTCTACAAATAGACATTCTATGCATCCAAAAATATATTTTCAAGAGTGTCTAGAATTTGATTATATATATATGATGTGAATTTAAATAGCTTATTGTAGACTACATACATGCAAGTATCTTCTGTCTCCTATTATCCCGGTCTCCTGTCCCAATTCACTCATAATTGTTGGATCGTATGAGTTTCTTAATGTGTGAAAATCAAAAAACCTATTCAATGACTGAGTGGTTTGAAACAAAAGGGCAAAGATATTTGGGACAGAAAATCTCTAGCCAGACCACAAGCATAGTGAAGTGATCTACACATTTCAAATTGGATTTGAGTAAATGGTGAGCCCAAATAGCTGGACTGACTATTCAGTTCAATCTTTTCAAATTCTGAATATTTTTTGAGTACATAGCATTGTTGTACTTGTATCTCCCCCCCCCCCCCCAAAAAAAAAAAAAAAAAAAAAACATCCAAAAAAGCTCAAGTCAAGTTACATCAGATAGTGGGCATGGGGATATTTCATTTATGTCAGGAACACTAAACCGTATGTTAGGAATATTTCCAAATATTTTTCTGAGTACGCATACACAAAAGAGAAAGATACAGACCTGAACAAAGCAGTCATGGAAATGGAGTCGAAGTATCAAGGCGGCATTACGAGGATCAGACATGACTGCACATTCCATCTCTCTCCTCACAATCTCAAGCGCAGTTGGGCATGTAGATGCATAGTAATCCAATTTCAATGGAGGCTCACTTGCATGCAAGCTCATGCTCATGCAAAAGACTACAAGAAGCATGAGCCATGATGAAGAAAGTGACTCTGCCATTTTTTTTCGCTTTCAAGAGCTTCTTTTTTTTTTCTTGTACTAACAACAACCAAGATGGAGATTGGGAGAGGTGGGTTGGACTGCCACATATATATATGTAAGTGAGAAAGAAAAGATGTAGTGTTGTACATTGTTTTAGTCATGGCTGTTTTGAGTATTTTTTGTAAATATGTTTGTAGTCAAAAGAGGATGTAACTAATATTGGTCTGGTTGGTGGGTACTCCCTAACCTAAGTTACACACAGAGAGACGGAGAGAGCGAGAGAGAGAGAGAGAGAAATGCTAGTTCCTCCCTCCAAAATATATATTTCTTGTTTAGTCGTTTACCCCTTTTTTTTTTTTTTAACAAGCTGAAGGTCCAACTTGCTCTGATCATCTCTCAAAACTTTTAAGAGAGAGACTGCATATTATTGAGACTTCTTGGGTGAGAAAGTCTAGAAGAAAGAAAACTATGTTAGTAATTGATTTCTTAGAATACTTGAAAATCCAAGTTTTCCTAACTGCTTTTTGGCGTGCAGGTTCATCAAATCTAATATAAAAATATATATTAACAAACAATCTTGATTAACCACTTGGTCCTGATTTTACATTGTTCATATCATGACAAAATTAAACCCCTATAAAATGTGTGTATAAGTAAGTGTGATTATATATAGTTAAATTATACATCTACTTTGTTTGTTCAGAAGCTAAAGTGTATGATTTAATTAATTAATCAATCTTCATGCAATCAGAAGTTCATCAACACGTTATCATTGTCACGTTTTCTTAAGAAACAAGTTTTGCTTACATTTTCTACTGTGGAAATCTAGTATGTGATCCAACTAAAAAATGTCGCCCTTTTTTTTCCAAACTTTTTGTCTTCAATGATTTTTTTATTTTTTTTAGATTTGTTTGGATTTTATTTATTTTTATATTTAGTGATTTTTTTCTATTTTTTAAAAGGGCAAATTACATATACCTTCCTCGAGATTTAGCTAAATTACAGATACCCCTGAAGTTTCGGAAATTACAGATACCTCCCTGAGGTTTATATTTTCATAACAAATTACCCCTTGAAATTTATATTTTCATAACAAATTATGGCCATTAACAATTTGCCCCCTAACAAATAGTACCTTTAGGAGGGTATCTGTAATCTGTGATTTTGTTAAATCTCGAGGGGATATATGTAATTTGCCCTTTTTAAAATTATTTTACTTTTCTAGTCCGGTTAGTTGAATAGCACCTATCAAGATAAAACTTTCGAATTTTTTTTATAAAATTGTCCAACAAAAAATTTCACCAAATACCACCTCATGGCTGCTTCCCATGGAAGCCACAGTTTTCCCAACAACCAAACTCCATCCATTTGAATCGCGCTGCTTGCCATATTTGCAGAACTCCTCTTCTTTTCTTTTTTTCTTTTTTTGGGTTGGGGGGGTTAAAAAAGAATTTATTGACATAACTATAAAGTAAAAACAGTAGAATATTATTTGCAGCATTTCTACCTCCCCTGGCATTTGCGTCTTCTCAAAGTGATATATCGAGTAAAATCTAGATACACAACTGCAACATCTCAACTTCATTTGTATCTCATAATGAACTTTACAAGAGCTCAACACAGACATCCAGAGGGGAGACCAGTTTCTTTGCCTGCTTAAGCTCTTGAGCCATGTAATTGCATGCCCTCACTTCACAAGGATTTGATGGAATTCCACTGCTCAGTAACTCGGATCTTTAATGGCCATAATTATTAGTCAAGTACAATAAAAACTGCCTAATTAACAAAATGTGGAGAAAAAATCTTTCATGACAGGATGTTAACATATATAGTGACATCCGGATAAAGTTCACAAAATCTGTGCTGAAGTTCTCACAAAAATGTAGAAGAACATGGACCTATGAGATCACAACAGTTCGATACTTGCCACCTTCCCCAACCTCCAAAAAAACTATGAAAAAATATATATAAAAGAGGAAGATGGTGTACATGTCGAAGGAGTGACAAACTCATCAGGTATATAACTCGGAATCAAGAGGATGATCATTTATTCGACCAATCCTCAAACAAACGTCCTCAACTTCACCATCAATACTGTATTCCAAGCCAGGTACAACATCCTTGAGCAGCAAAGACTTGACCACCGACGCCACAGAACCACCAAATTCAGGCCATGAAACACAAAGAGTTCCCTTGATCGTCCTCATCTGGCATCGACCCAATAGAGCAGCACTCAATCCATCCACTACACTTCCCGATGGAAAATAGTCTACACCTTTTAACAGCAATCC